TAGTTCTTAACTACATAAGAACTTTTATTTAGTAATATATGAATATATTTTAAAAGAAAAAAAGAGGCTACCCTTACCATTCCTCTTTTTTAATAGATATATATGGATTTTTAAAAATATTTATTTTTTAGCTGTAGTTAGACACAATACTTTTATTTTATTTATTGTATGTAGTGCTGAAGATCAAACCCAGGGCTTTGCATGTGCTAGGCAAGCACTTTACTGCTGTGCCACAACCCCAGATCTCTTACCATCCCTCTTGATTGTCAATTTTATTGCAATTTTAAGGGTAACCACTATGTTTATCAATTTGGTGATACTTTTACAGATTTTCTTTATATAATTAGATATAGAATTATAAAAATACATGTTCTTTTTGAAGTAGTGAATTCTGTATTTATGAATGATGAATGCATGTTGCATATATTCATGTAGATCATCTATTTTTATTTACTTTTTGTGGAGACAAATGCATGGAGTACTGCATACATGGCATACATTAAGGGCATGGGTGGCAGGCCACTCCCCTCGTGCTAAGTACGTGAGCAGCAGACCGCTTACCCCATAGGCACAGCCCTGGGCATGAGGCCATGTGTGGCAGTCCCTGTGTTTACTCTACAGCCTGCTAGATTGGTCGCTGCAAGGACAGTTAGCAAGAAAGTGTATTGGTGGCTGCCTATAATCTGCCTAGCTACTGCCTGACTATATATACATGGTAACTGCAAAAAAATCAGACTCGCTTCCTGCTTGGTCTCTGGAGGTCTTGATTAGTGAGTGACTCTACAGCCACACACTCTTCTACCCTGTTCTGTGGTCCCCTTTGCTGGGCGAGAGAGAGCCCATACAACTTTGGATATGAATTATTTGTTATATATCTTCCACAGGTTGTTTTTAAGCTTGCAGTTTACCTGAGAAACCAAAATACTCATGGTATCTTGGTTTTCATATTAGGTTTATCAATATTTTCCTGATTTTTAAATTTATTTATTGATTGGGTTATTTGTTTTCTTGGTGTTAAAGTTTTTGAGTTCTTTATATATTCTGGATTTTAATCTGATAATTTGAGGAGAAATTGGCAAAGATTTTTTTCCCATTCTGTAGTTTCCCTCTTTGTGCTCTGAATTGCTTCCTTCACTGTACAGAAGATTTTTAATACGATGCCCTGCCACTTACTGATCCTGGTTTTATTTCTTGAACTTTAGGGGTGTTAGTGTCTATGTTGGATTATTGAGCCTAAATGTTCTAGCATTTGCAGAGTTTCAGGCCTAACTCCTAGGTCTTGGATCCACTTTGAGTTTACTTTTGTGGCAGGGCCAGAGATAGTGACCTAGTTTCATTATTCT